TTAATTTTTAATTTAATAATTTTTTTTTTTTAACAACATTTCCCATGAGCTCCTGTTACATTAGCTACATGTTGTGACTACAGTGGTTTATTCCAATTTAGCTTAAACATAGACCAAATATATATATTATAATATATATACTATATATATATATATATATATATTTATATTTTGGGAATGTTTTGAACAAAACAACAAAACAACAACAGAAGGGAAGAGAACCCCGTGCCCCGGACAATAGGAGAAACCCCACAGGATAGCGTGGGAGAAGGAGTTGGATTTCGAATTTCCAAGAGGAACCTATACAATGTACAAAATACGAGTTGGTGTGTGACTGAGCGCCCCTCTCAGCGGATCACAACGGTGACACGCATGTAGTTTGTGTCGGTTTAGTTGTTAAAAAAAATAAGCAGCGAGGTAATTTCTGACTTGCGACTTAAAAGGATATTCAGAATTGTCTGCTGCTATTGCATGGTGTTGGATCGGTGATTGGGGGTTTAAAAGACGCTAGTGGACATACATTTTAGTAAGGACTCTGAATTTACAGAGCAAATGGATTCAGCAGGGACCAACATGCCTGCAGTGTATAAATAACTATTGTCTCATGTCCAGAGATACCCAGACTGAAAGAAAACAGCATTGGTTCAGTTGGAAGGACGTTGGCCTTCATGTTAGGACTGATATATTTACGTTGATGCTCAGTGGATGGTTGTCCAGCTATATGAAGACGTGCAGATTTTATTTTTTAACTATCTTTGGGACAAAATTTATTCTTGTAGTGCCCGGTACAAAAAAAGACCAACAAAAATCTCTCCTGTGGCCACTAAAGTTCGGCGTCAAGGAGAAGTCCAGCTAGGTGTGTATGTGTATGATCTTTCCACTTGGGAATCTGTCCAGGTTCACCAATTAAATCTTGAAGCAGGAAAAGTGTGTTTTACATGTGTTAGCAGTCTTGTCTACCAACCCCAAAATGAAACAGTTACATGTTAGCGAATGCAGGTATGCATTTCAATAGTACTGCTGAAGCAAGGTGCTCTGAAATAATTCTTTGGCCTGTACTCAGCATACTAAAATTAAGTGCACCCAGTGCATATTCTCTCATTCTTTTGGGGCAGCAGTGAGCTTGTGTAGTTATTGGCAAGACTAAACTATAATTTCTCTCCCATCATTGGTTCCCAGATATGTTCAGGCACGCAGCAAGGACTTATCTTTTTCTGGATGGCATGACTGTAAGGAGCTGCTCCAGGCTGAAGGAATGGGAGGACACAACGGAGAGGCGGAGAGAGGTCATACCTCTGCTGTCCGCCCCTTCCTCTTCCCCCACGGTCGTTGGTGATGGTGACACCGCCATGACGCGCGGCTTTAGTGTGGGGGCAGCTCGTTCCACTCTTGTAAAACTGGGTAAGTAGCGATGCTGTCATTTTCCAGATCTTTCTTCGCAACAGTCCAATAAATTGAGATCCTGGGTGGACTTCCGGATATCCATCCCAGTCAAAAGCACAAAAAGACTCTCTCCAAGACACACTTCTGCTTGTGGAGGAACGATGCAGGAATCCTGGCTGGTCCCGGATGTTGCGGCCAAAAAGGTACCGGCTTGCAGGTTTATGAAGCGAGGATTACGCCAGTCTCCGAGATGCGGTCTCCATCTGGCAAGAAGCTCGTGGCACCCATTCCAACCAATCTAGAGGGTAAGCAGTTGTGGTACAAAACGATGGGATCCTCTCCAGATTTGAAAAGCCTGATGGGTCCAGAATCGACCCCAGAGAGTCAACGAAACATGTATCTTCCAGGCTCTGCGTTGCCTTCTTCGTTCCTCCGTGGCGCGAGTCAAAGAGGGTGTTGGGTTGACCGTTGGGGAGTGGTAGGTGATTAGACGTGGGGATATACGCAGAGAAGGGCTAGCAGAATTAACTGATACTTCTAGTGCCATATAAGGTGACAGAGAGACATATACATGGGGCTATAGACCCAGAGGAGAAACCGAGAATTTAGAATCGGTTCTAATATACTGCATTAGAGATACGTAGTCAGACTAACAGAGAGACAAATTATCCGTCAGGATTGAATAAGTCATGCATAGCTGTAGGAACAAGATAGACATAGAAGCATACTGCTCTTCAAGATAATTATGTAAGAGATACGCTCTCCTGTCACAAATAAACAGCACAACATTACAAAAATAATCCATGTCACCTGTAGAAGATCTAGTTGTCCTGACAATCAACCTGTAAAGTGAAAGTTGTGAAGCATTATAACTAATAGAGTATATTCAGCGATTATCACTTAACATGTATACACAATGATGACAATTGTGTTGTATATAGTTGTGTTGACGACATATTGGACGAGAGCACTAACTCTCTGTTTGGGACGCAACATGTATGACCAGAGACAAAACACAGTCACAGCAGGGAAAGAAGATGGGCGTGTACGACTAGGCAGTACCGTGCAAAAAAAAAACTAGAAATGTAACGACTTATAACTGGCTGTAAAACATGCGTCTCACAGTGGCGCGCGGCTTATAATGATGCGCACAAATAAAATAAATAGGTCCATAGACACGTCACACGTCACTTATAAGAGTACGAAAGCGTAAGTTACGATATTAAAGACATGAACAGCGACGTAAGAACCATAAAACCAGCTTGATCTCACATTAAAGAAGACCATATTTAAATTAAGGAAGACTAGCGAGTAATTTCGTGCGTCATGGGAAAGTTCCCGCTACTGGCCGCAAGCACAACAAACCTGACTCTTAGAAAGTGAAGCGGGGAACCACACTCCATGTCATACTCTAAAACGAGCAAATCCGATGCTTCTCGGGGTGTGTGGCGCATGCAGAAGATGAGAAATCTGCTAATGTGCGCCAGTTACAACAGAAAAGCTGCAGTATTCGTACCGACGTGTCACTGACGCTGCGAGATGAGAGAGTTGAGGAGTTAACGGTAAACAGCCACGTATAATGTTTCCAAAGTCGTTGAATCCACTATCATTTTCCCGAAATAAAACACGGATGGCGCTCGTTCCCCACTTGTATTTGCACACCGGTTATATGTAAATGTTAGTAAATGTGTGTTTAACTAGAAGCGTTTCGTTCGGTGCTAGTAAATATAGAACGAAAGCAAATTGGATGTGCCGATCATACCTAATCCAACGTACCAACTCTGTTAACTGGACACGACGCAGTAATGCCACAATTCCCACACAAAGCGGGCGAGCCACGTGAGCAGGAGAGTAATTAACCAAACCTATGGCTGACTGGGAAGGGCGAGCTTGTATATTATATATGTTATGCGAACCTGTTTGATACGTCTTGATTTTTAATGGCTGAGTGAAGAATGATCAGGTGAGTTTATAAAAGATGCGTCCTGCTGGTCACCAATTCTTTAGATCCCCCCCCCCCCCTCCTTTCCCCGAAATTGTATATTTTCGCAACAAGAGAGGCGAGTCGACGCCGAAAAGAGAAGGACTAGTTAACCTGCAGTGGAGAAAAACGACTGTCGGACATAACTGCGCATGAGCATTGCAGCACTATAATATGAGAGAAATGTGGTGTCTTTAGACACATACAATATACATAAGAGAATAGAGGTATCTGAGTCCGAGATTGTCGGGCTCGAGTGGGTTCTTTAGCTTGACCCGGGATCATTGGATTGTGCTGGACTACGAAGACCAACATCGCTCTGGCGAACCTGCAACATAGCGCGGCCCGATCATGGCAAGGAACCGCACAGGCATCCCGGCACATGAGACGCGTCGTCTCAAAGAGAAGATTCGGAGGTAAGGAAAACTGAAAATACGCGACCCGTAGTACCCAGGTAGGGCCTCACTGTACTGTGGACAATGTCAGCAAAATGAAATATGTACTGTTTTTTTTATTTGTCATCAGACATAGGTTAGAGGCGAGCCTTGAACAAAGGACCACTATCCATGTTACCCCAGTTCCAAAGGAAGAGGTAACCAAGATGAAGAAAGCAGTGGGCCAAACTGAAAAATGGCTCCTCCAGGAGCCAGGTCAGTATAAAGGACACACCTGACCCAGTGCAGAGAAGTGAGATTAAAAGAAAGGTCAATAGTTTCAGCATTAAGTTAGACTTTGACAGATTAGGATTGAAGAGAGAGAACATGACTGAGCGATGAGGTCAGCGTGGGTCAGTCCTTCGCAAAACTCAAAAGAAGCAGCAAAAAAAAATCTTTATCATAAATCGATTATCTAATATATATATATATATTTTGGAATGTTTTGAACAAAACAACAAAACAACAACAAAGAAAACTAGGAGAAACCCCAAGATAGCTGGGAGAGGAGGTGGGATTTCAGATTTCAAGAAGAATATAAATTACAAATAATACAAATAATAACAATACAAGGTGGACATTATGTGCAATTGTGCTTTATTGTTAAAAAAAATAAGCAGGTATTTCTGATTCATTAAAAGATATTCAAATTGTATCTATTGCATGGTTTGGATATTTGGTTTAAAAACTATTGACTCAAAAATAAACTCTGAATACAGAGCAAATGGTTCAGCAGACCAACATCCTGCAGTGTATAAAACTATTGTCTATGTCAAATACCCAGCTGAAAGAAAACATTGTTCAGTGAAGTGCCTTCATGTACCACTGAACATTTACGTGATGCTCAGTGGATGTTTCCACAATAAAGTGCATTTTTTTTAATATCTGGGAAAATCATATAGTGCAATTTAAAAAAAGAAAAACAGTGGCA